TAACGTCTGCTAGGGATCTAATATGGGTCAATCGAAATTCAAGCACGGGGGGAAATAGTGTAAAACGTTATACATAACAGTAGTTATCGTGTAACTAATTAAAGAATAATAGTTTGATTTAAACCATCGCGTGAAGTTCTATGAAGCGAGCAAGAAACGGAGTTGCAGACCCTGATATTGTTTTCTGTGGCCGTTCGGAGGGGGACCTATCCCTAGACGACGACATTTCGCCACAGATCTATATGACTGGACGTATGTCTCTCTTGATACCCCAACACCATGAGTCCAATACAGCACTAAAATGGTTCTCGTTCACAAAGTTTTAAAAAAAATAGACCTTTGACGTCATTCTCCAGGTGTTGCCATTTTGTGTGTGTGTTTGGGGGGGGGGGCTTGCTGTTGTCGACATGCTTTAGATGACTTTAAATATCTGGAGTTGGATTATCATACGAAGACATACATTATTCCCGTTTTGGGGGGGGGGGCTTGCTGTTGTCGACATGCTTTAGATGACTATAAATATCCGGAGTTGGATTATCATACGAAGACATACATTATTCCCGTCCCCCCCCCCCGAATATTTTGAATACTGACATGACATTGACTGGAGCACAACCAAGAAATCCATCAGCCACCCCCCTCCCTCCCCCCCCACCACACACACTTACACAATACGTTTAGTTCGAAAGTTTCGACCATGTCAGCACGTAGTTCGGATCGATCTTGTCTATTTTTACTGCTTACCATGAGCGCATCTAAGGCGTGCACTGATTTGTTTTATTTTAAAACTTTTGGGCAAACCCCCCGAAAAACCAGTGTTTCATCTTGGTACCTATCGTGTCAAGCTTATGCTCTCAGTGTGCACCAGGACTCGGCAACACACAAGGGATGTAAACGACATGACGCACTGGCAACCAGCGGCGTGTCCAGTGTTAGTGCCAACCGGGGCGATATTTTTGCCGTACGATCCCAAAAAATCAAAAAAAAAATCAAATTGAACATTTTCTTAGAAGGATCATATTTTACATTTCCTAGAAACCTGTTGTCACTACATCCAATTTTTTTTTTTTTTACCTCATATACGTAACGACATTTTATATAAGAGTACCTTCAGGGAATCAGTCCACTCCTCTCGGACATTTCAAATCCTCCTTTAAGGCTGCGCTCTTTACAAAACGATCCTGCAAGGTCTGCGAGCCTTCGGACCAGGGCTGCCACTCATTTGCTTTTCAAATTCCCAGGATTCGGTCAAAACATTTCCCAAGATTTCTCAAGGTCATGAAAATATATATGAATTTTTTTTTTAAAGGATCTTGGGATTTTAAAAAAAAAAAGTGAGTTTTTGTCCTGAATGGGGTAGTGAATTCCCAAGATGTTGGGAAATTTCCCAAGGTGTTGCAGCCCTGCTTCGGATGATTGATGAACTCTGTAACATTGTCACAATTTTGTGGACCTCTGGCCACGAGAGGTAATTTTAAATATTTTATGAAAAAAAGAGTCACAAAAAGGTTATTCATTGACTTTTTCTTACGTAAGTGTCACGTGTCTTTTGTTGTTGTTGTTGTTGAGAACATCTTGACCCTAAGGTAGCCTAAAAATGAAGGAAAAGAAAAGTTTACAAAAAAAAAAAAAAAAAAAAAGGGGACCCAAAAAATAAAAAAAAAAAAAAAAAAAAAACCAAACTGATCCGTGAGATGACGATGGTCATGGCAAGGCCTTAAGCCGAGCCTAATCCGGGATTATACGAGCTAGAGATCCTACAGTTAATCCGAAATGTGTATCATTATAATGACAGAGGCGTAGCTAGCGGTAGCGCCAGCCGGGACGGGACAAGATTTTTCGATGGCCCCTTCCACAACAAAACAAAAATCTCTGCAGTTGGTCGAAAGTGCCGCCCTTCCATATTTAGAAAAAGTGCCGCCCTTCCATATTTAGAAAAAGTGCCGCCCTTCCATATTTAGAAAAAGTGCCACCCTTCCATATTTAGAAAAAGTGCCGCCCTTCCATATTTAGAAAAAGTGCCGCCCTTCCATATTTAGAAAAAGTGCCGCCCTTCCATATTTAGAAAAAGTGCCGCCCTTCCATATTTAGAAAAAGTGCCACCCTTCCATATTTAGAAAAAGTGCTGCCCTTCCATATTTAGAAAAAGTGCCGCCCTTCCATATTTAGAAAAAGTGCCACCCTGATCGGACCACCCCCACCCCCTAGCCTCCTCCTACGTTACTGCATAATGGATTATTTAATAGTTTCTAGCATTGAATTTTAAGGGCCTGTTCAACACTAAATGTGGCAATAAATAGAGCCTGACTCACTTAGCCATTCCTGTACTAAACATTGCGTGAAAGCTAAACAGTGTCTCGGGGCAGGTATGCTGGCAATGGGGACTTTGGAATCACCGGTATAAGCCTTACATTAGGCGATATGACCTGTTGGGATGCCAGAAGCTTAAAGATGCGTAAGAAAATGATGAAGTGTAGCAGAAGTGCCTACCCGTTACAATTATTCGGATTTTTAGACTTTGGAGCCCTTAATAATTAAAAAAAAAAAAATAGAACTAAAAAAAAAAAAAAAAAAAAAAAAAAAAAAAAAAACAAAAAAAAAAAAAAAAAAAAAATATAAAAAAAAAATATATTATTTAAGGCGAAAAGTGTTTGCTTAATTTCAGATAAGTTTTGCATCCCTTAAATTGAACTTAAAAAAATGAAAAGTGTTTTCTTTTAAAATTGTTCCTTGCCTTTTATTTACTTTGAGGCTCACTCAGGGTTGAGATGATAACAATAAAAAAAAGTCCAAAGGCCATTAAACAAATAAAATCAGAATGAAAAAAAAACTTTTGAGAGCCTCGCTTTGCTCAGTCCACGTGAGCAAGGACCAACTCTTTCACATAACTTTCATGGATAGAGGGAGGTTCACAAAAATCACCACAACAAAACAGAGTTTATCAATCGTCCGAAGGCTCCCGGACCTGGTTGATCGTCATCCAGAGCCCAAACTTAAAGGTCACCCAAATTTGAGAGACGACCGTATTCATTCAATAACAATACTATAATAAAATATGTCGTCACATATTTGAGTGATTAAAAAAAAATTAATATAAAGAGATAGATCTGCATTTTCAACAACAAAAAAATAGTTAAGATCCTTCTAAGATTATGTTCAACGTGCCCCTGTCAATCTATTGGAGACAGACAGCCGCCTGGTCGCGACACCTGGTGGCGACACCTGGTGCATTATTTCAGCAAGCATTTTCACATGTGCCGCAACATTCGTTGCCTGGCTCACGTGGGGACAAACGTTATGGGCCTATGACGTGCTTTGAAATGACGTGTTTCACTGAAACTGAAAGACTCGCCTTTGCGGGGATATCCGTGTCCGTTAACACCACGAACTGGAAGTCGGCTGCTGCTGCTGAGAAGGGTATAAAGTACGGTTACCCTCGTTTTCCTGCACCAATCATTCGGACAACTCGCTATAAAATTCAATTTTTGTTTGTTTTTCTTTTTGGTCTTTAACAAAAACTCGGATAAATAATTTATGTTTTCGGTTCATAGCTGTAAGAGGAGATCCTAAAAATGCTGGTAAGTACAATTAGAAGGTTGTTATTATTTAAATAAATGTTAATTTACATCACTTCACCTTGTTGGAACAGTCAATGTTTTAGATGAGCTGCTTGAAAAAACAATACGTTTTTAATGGACGCATGGATAGATGGCCAAAAGAAAAAAAAAAAAGAAAAAAAAAGAACATTTATCGTGGCCAGATATCTTACGTGTTCAATAATCAGTTCAGTATGATGATTTCTATTCCTTAGTGCGTGCGACTCAATTAAAATATTCTGCCTGTACCGAGGATCATTGATTTTCTAAACAATAAAGTTTAAACACTATATTTGAGCAAAACTGTTTTTAATTTAAAAAAAAAATCTTACTTAAAATAATCTTTTATTTTTTAAAAAGTGCACCAGAACTGCAGACATTAACATATCGATATTGGTATTATTCAATATCTTTCATCTAAGTATTGAAAAAGGATAATTTTTTAAAAGTTGGAATTTTTCTCTTTAAAATAACGTTCACACATATTTGTGTTACGTTTTTGCTGAGGAGAATGTAAATAAGAAAGAAAAAACCCAACAAATTAGGCTGTAATAGTTTCAAATAAACTGAGCGAATCTCAAGTTGGTGGTCTGGAGTTCAGTTCCAGCCAGAGCCCAGTCAAGCAAAAACACCACCAGCACCCCGGGTGGATGGGACTCGTTAGCCGTGGTCGGCAACTCATCTAAGAGAAGAAAACTCTGAAATCAAACCCGGAGATGGAGTCCCGAAAGGCGGATAACATTGGTACAATGAAACATTCCAACAACTCCTGCGACGTCACTGGTGCCAAGCTGTATCATCCCTTGATGTTCCCTTGGGTTATCCAGCGGCGTGGAGAGAGGCGATTTGCTGTTGGGAACCAGCTTATAATCCTTGAAGAATAATCCCAGGCCATGTGGATTTCGTCCTCCGAAGCCCACTCCATCGTCACATTGTGACGGATGGATGCCAGCAAAAAAAACACGAAAAAAACAACAAAAAAAACAAAACAAAAAAAATGGGCCTAGATAGTATATACTCATTTTACTCATAGTTAAAATTATTCAAAGCATAGAGAGATGAAATTTTTCAAATGTATGAAAAATAACCATTATAACATTCACACTGAATAGACCTACTTTAAATAGCCATGCCCATAAAAATGCCCATATGACGGTATGTCTTTGATTATATCAACTATGTGACAGTAGTGACAAGTATGTAACACTATGTTGAGTCATAATAAATTAGGATAAGGAAAAACAAAAATTTGCCTAATAATAGAACTAATTATGGTAATAATATATACTTTATACCATTAGCTATGTTACCCTGACTCTTCTACCTGTTATATATTAAGACTTCACTAAATATTTATTATTGCCAATCTACAGCCCTCATCATCATTGGTGTATCTTGCAGGTCCGAGACAAGACTAAACTTTCACTAGAGAGACTAAAGATGGTGGAGGCGGAGAGCAGCTCCCTCATGTTAGAGATTGAACAGCAACGAATACGGGTTGTGAAATGCTTTGATGTGATAGCCAATGGACCTGAGAAATGCTTTGATGTGATAGCCAATGGACCTGAGAAATGCTTTGATGTGATAGCCAATGGACCTGAGAAATGCTTTGATGAGATAGCGATTCAGGTGGTCCAGGCCTTGTTGGCTCAGAAGGTAGTTATATTAAAAATGGTGGTTTCTGTACCTCATGTAGCTCTACTTGTCAATTTAACACATTTAATAAAATATATGATCTATTTACTGCTTATAATATCATTATATTATTTTTCATTAAATATTGTTCAATTATAATTTCAGTTTTTGGTTTAACAGATATAAAACTTGATAAATGCCATATTTTTTGTATTCAAGATATTATTGAAATTTTATGACTACAGATATAGTAAATTGAATTAACCCATTCTTGCCTAATTTTCTCTCCTGCATAAGCCATGGCATTTAACTCAATTTTAAAATGTATTTTTTTTTTTTTAAAGTAGAAAAGAAAGAAAATATAAATTAAGCTATGTCATATTTATTTTTTAAATTTGTAATAAATATAAAAATGAATGAATTGTAATAATCAAGATAAAGGAGGGCATAATGAATACAAATGAACCCCCCAAACCTTACTTGTCAAGCCATGGATGACACCCAGCAGCATAGTTTATCGTTTAGAGACTTGGAGTGGGGTGGGAATCAGTCAAGATAGTATAATTTGAATAAATGTGTCTTGGGTGCAGTTAATACAAGAAGAAGCTATGCTTACAAGGCAAGCCTATATGTATAGAGTGCTTTCGTATCTGAAATAGAATCTTGTCTGAAGTAGACTCTAATCTTGATCATGGACAAGAATGTATTTTGTTAGTTCATCTCAAATTTTTAACATATTTAAATATACAATGTTATATTTATTTCATGCTGTTTTTTAAACTTCCATTAATATCCTGAAATATCAATTGCTTTTAATTTTTTTTCTAGACTCAACTATAGAATAAACTTTCTGCATACACAGCTACCCTAATTGGATAGATCAGCACCAACCATTGTTATCAAGAAATAAATCAACTCACCAGCTGCGGTTAGCTACAATTTTTTTTATTTTGAATAAATTTCATGGTTTAAAGTAAATATGAATCTCAACTTAAAATAAATTATTTCCATTTAAAAAACAACTTTCAAGTGTGAAAATAAAGTATGAAAATTTAAACTCTAATGCTGTATCCATTTTTTGTATTTTTTGTAGGCTTCAATCTAAAATTGTTTACCCTATAACTTTTGCTGCGATGCTTATAGAATTCCATAATATGAAAAATAAATAATTAAAATTAAGTTATAAACAGAGTAAACACATGTTACTGTAATTGCATACTCTGATCTAAAATGCACTTTTTTTTTTAAACCTGCAGAATTTCTAAATCAGAAAGATGAAGTACATGATCAATGGAGGGAATCATTGGATTCTGAGGGACTAAGTACATCTTAGAGTCAAGATTAGGAGCTCATTGAAACCAAATAATTGCATTCATTACATTTGACAGTGATATTTATATTTAAGTATGATTATTGCACTAATTCAGTGTTCTCAACTGTGGGTCTGGAACCCTATGGGAAGAATAAAAAAATGCCCGAAATTTAAAAAAAAATCATTATCTTATGTGTAACACCTTTCATTAAACATTTTTTTAAAAGGATCTGGACTGCAACTATATTTCAAATGCTATCAAGGAGTCACTGCGATAAAAAGGTTGAGAACCATCAGCACTAATTATTAATGTAATAAATTACATATCACATGACCTTTCATAACTGCTGAGTAAGTGAACAGTCTATACTATGTAATCCCCTCTGCCAGTCTGGTAAGATGGCTCTTATTGATTTGAATGACAATCATTTACTGATCAAGGAATGCTACAAAATTCGACTGACTTCCTCTTAGGAAGCCTTGTCAACGTTCGGCTTTCTTCTCCATAGCTCTCTTTTATATTGTGCTAGCACTTTTTGTTATGTGTTCCATGTTCTGTCCATCTTAGCACTGTCCTGGGAAGTGAACTTGGTGGTATCCTACAAATATATGTACGCCATCTCTGGTCATTATTTGCTTTTAATTCATGCCATTATTTACCACAGTGGTTGTTACTCTTGCTTGGCGTTTCATTTCTTCATTGCATCCTCTTTGGTCAGAATATTCTATGGGAGCTTTGTAGGCATTTGGTTTCTACTTCCCATTTTAATGTGATTGTGGTCTTCCAGCATAGAGTATAATTAAGACATTGTCTCTGTCACAATTGTCACCTCTTGTGACCTCACTTCCTAGCAACTTATACTCTTTGAGGGGCTGTTGGTCAGTGATTGTGTTCTCCACTTGTGTCTTTTTTATCATGACCTGTGTTTGATCTTAGGCCCGGTAAGGTCATAAAAAAATTACCAAAAGTCAGATTTAAAATAAATTGAGAATTTTCATGAAATGCCAACAGTGGATTAGGGGTGTGGGTGGACACTTGCATTGTGTTGTCCACTACAAACTTGTTGTTGACACTTGCATTGTGTTGTCCACTACAAACCTGTTGCTGACACTTACATTGTGTTGTCCACTACAAACCTGTTGTTAACACTTGTATTGTATTGTCCACTACAAACCTGTTGCTGACCCTTGCATTGTGTTGTCCACTACAAACCTGTTGCTGACTCTTGCATTGTATTGTCCACTACAAACCTGTTGCTGACCCTTGCATTGTGTTGTCCACTACAAACCTATTGCTGACTCTTGCATTGTATTGTCCACTACAAACCTGTTGTTGACATGTTTGCACACATGATTCTGTTCACATTTTTTACTTCCTGTTAACACACCTGGTAAAATTCGTTTGGTTTACATAAAAAATAGTTGACTATTTTTTATACATTCAAATACTGATGAATATTGAAATGACAATTGTTCAAAATATTTTCCAAAGTTTTCTGTTATTTGTTAAAGATGTTTGGCCCTTCATTCATATTGGCAAGAGCGAAGAAATTTTATTGCAAAATCAAATTAAATTTTCTGATGTTAAACGTGTAGAAATTATAATATATGTGCATAAAAAGCAGTTTATGATATTATTATTAAGATATTATATGTGCAGAAAAAATTAGTTTATATTATGTAATGTGTTTATATTTATATGTGAAAAAGAAATGTTTTTTTATGATTTTAAATGTTAAAAAAAAAATACAATGCAAACCCCCTCCTTTTCTCTTTAATGATTTCTATTCAAAACATTTTTATGTATGTATACATTTCTGTTGAATGAAATTGAAAATATGTATATTTTGAAATTTGTTTTTTTTATAAAAACTTTTGGTATTAGATAAATTGTTATCTCTGATACATATGGCAATTAAAATTGCATGTGTGTGTACCAAAATATTATGTTTGATTGCATGTGTATGTACCAAGATACTATGTTTGATTGCATGTGATTTATTCCATGTAACATGTTATGTGATTTATTCTATGTAACATGTTATGTGATTTATTCCATGTAACATGTTATGTGATTTATTCCATGTAACATGTTATGTGATTTATTCCATTAACATGTTATGTGATTTATTCAACTTAACATGCAGGTGTGTAACTTAGCAAACTGTTCAGATATTTTTTTGTTTCTTTGTATTGATCCGTGGCCAGTGATGGAAAAGCAAACTGCAATAGCAAGTCCATATTTTTTTCTAATTGACCATCCTCAATGCATCACTAGTGCATGCTCATTCTGACTTGTACATAGTCTGTGTTTATTTCATTCACCACTTGGTCACACTCCATTTTCTTTGTGTTGTGTTCACTTTCTCTTCTTATCTCATCTTATTTGATTATATTTTAAAATTTCCTTAATTTACTATATTTGAAATATGTTTTTGGCTTGACAGCCTTTTTTTTCCAGCAGCCAATAGACTGAGACAACCAGCAGGCATTAGATTGGACTTGGGAGTTTGTGTTCAATTATGATTAATTTGAGACAAATGCAGGGTAAGATTGTCTCATAACTGTACGTGGAAAATAATGGGGTTACTGCTTTTTTGTAAAATGGAACATAATAAAGCTTATTATAAAGGATACAAATTTGCTTTGTTCTTATTGGACCCATGTTGTGTTTGTTGGGGGTGGTTTGCTTCCCTTTGTTTGGTTGTCTCCCCTTTTTCATCTTTAAATAAAATCATTATTTGTTCTTAGTTGAGATTTCTTCAGTTTCTTCTTTCTATCGGGGATCTTCTTCCCCCCGTGTCGCAATTGTGCATTTTGTTTAGGTGTGATGGAATTCGGGCCTGGTTATTTGGATCTTTTTTTTTGCCCTTATTTTTCCATCCACCCCGACCACCATCCCCGAAAATTTTTAACTTATGTTAAAAAGGTAGACAATTGGGATAGGTGTTTCAAAATTTACATATACAAATTTCGATTGCTCATATAAAAATAACAAAAGCATGTTTATGTGGTATTGTTTATAGTAGTCATATAAAACATATCTATGTTCATTATAATATACTCGGAATATGTTAATTGCATTAGCTTTTCTATTATACATGTATATAAAGTTAATTAAATATACGGTTGTGTTATCTTTCTTTTTCCATGCCCTTTTTATTGCCCCTGGTTTTCATCATCACAAAGTTCCAAAACTGTGATATCCAATAGAGTCACTCATTTCGAACGAAAACGTTTCATGACATGAACTTGGTCTTGTTCATCACAACTGATACAGCAGCCTTTTAGCATTAATAGGATAAAAAGTTCATTTACCGGGAAAGTATAATTTGCAAATAAGTAATAAAATGTAGTGGGTAGAGGGATCGATCATTTCAATTATAAATGTACGAAAGTGGCAGAAGGAAATTAGCTTTGTAAATTCTTAAGGTCAAAGGGAGACTCGTTTTTTATAAAAATCTTTAGATAGCAATTTTACGGTCAAAGTTAGGCTATCGTGTATTAATTTTAGAAAACTTAAGATTGTAACAGTTATTCCCCATTTAATTTTGTGTCTTATTTTTTTTTTTACATTTAATTTTTCTTTGCTAGATTTTCACCACAAGTGATACAGTCTCTAAGTATTAATAGGTTAAAAGTAAATTTTACGGAAATTATAATTTGCCAAAGATTAATAAAATGTAGTGATTAGAAATATCCATCATTTCAATTT